TTGTGAGACTGTATTCTTTGTACTGTACATGTTTTGTAGTTCTCCCAATAAATTTTTGGAAATGAAAAAAAGCATACCATGAGATGTTTTGTCTAAACGGTGGGTTCTGTGTTTTACCTAGTGTATTAAAACAAAAAAAAAAGTTATTGGCGTTCAGCCAAGACCATTGTGAAAGGTTCCAAAGTACTCATTTTGGTGTAGGCAGAATTTTTAACTCTTGTGGTCACACAATGGTTTTTACTTCTGGTCTGATAATACTGTGCACTAAATCAACCATCTGCACTTCCTGATCTCATTTTAAAGGTGAAAAAAAAAAACATGCATTCATATACAAAGGATATTTATGCTCTTTCCTATCAAAATGTGCATCTGATTTACTGATGAAACTAAATCCATTTGCTTTCAACTGGAACTCTTTTCTTCTCTATCCACATGCTATACAGTCGGGGAGTTGTGTTGAAAAGGCTTACAATGCTGCAAGACAATTGGGTTATTCATTCTCCGTGGCTTTGTAATTACAGGAATCTCAAGCTAATTAAATTAATGATAGAAGTAAATACAAAAACTATAATCTATATGGTTTTAGCTGGTGTATATGCATGTTGTGGTGTTTTTTTTTTCTTTTTGTTTTTTTTTTATTTATTTATATTTTTTTTATATATAATTTTTTTATTTTTTTTTTTTAATTTGAAGTTGCATCCTTTTTGGAATTGTTTTTTACATGCAGATACTATATCAAAGGGCCATTAAACCCCACTTTTTGTTTCCATCCTGGTACGTTAATGGGGAGGGGGGGGTCAAATGGCAAATATTGAATTGGTGACTTAGAAGAATACACACATGAATGTTGGGTAGAGTCTTAGATTTGCTTAATAGTGTCAACATTAACCACATAATTGGGTCTGTGCCATTAGGCAGCAGTTTAACACCTGTTTAAGTTGGGGTTGTGCTTTTTGAGAAATACCTAGTCAAACAGAATTAATTGATGGTGTAATGCAAACGTAAGGGGCAATTTGCTGAGTAGCAGGAAAAAAATTCTCTAGGGACCTTTCTAATACAAAGTAAATATTTAAGTGCAATGACACACCTTATCGAACCAGCTTTCATTACACTGCTTGTCTCTAAAGAAAGAATGCCATGATAAAAGTATAGGCTAAAGCCGCCGTGGTTTACCTCTTGGCAAAAATGCTAGTCACCTGGCTGTTATGCCAACCTTTTGGTTTCGGTTTTTTGAGTTGCAAACCTGGAACAAATATTTAGACCAGTAAAATCGGATGCCTTTTGGTCTGGCATGCTTGTTGCAGGTCAGAGACTCGTATTGACAGCCAGGCAACTATTTTAAGAATTGCTCAGCAATGGCCCTCTTCGAGTTTTTGTGACCAGGCTATTGTTGGTCAATTCTGAAAATAGTTGCCTGGCTGTCGATACGAGTCTCTGACCTGCAACAAACATGGCGGAGCAAGGCATGCTTGTTTCTTTTGTTGAGCGTGTTTTTGGTTACCTACATTGCTTACTACACTGTATAATTAATGTTACATAATCAACTTAAAAGTAGGTGAAAACCTAGCCACTGAAATCGCATAATGCCATGTCAATATTTTTTAATTTTATGGTTGATGTTCCTGCCAGGTGGGTCCTTGGTTAGGCATCTATTGTAGGGTAACACTCTGCTGCTATCTTCAAATTGTTCTGTAGTTTTACATGGGCTTCTGATAGACCTACAGGTGGCCTTTTCATTACACAGATATGGTCAACTGTGGTCGTCATCAGGAGGCCCACCCTGAGAAATGCTTGGTGGTCCTTCGATGAAGGTTCTTCCTCAGGCACCTACTGTGGTAGGGTGACAACAGTGTCTCTGCCTTCCAGTTGTTCCTGCAGTGCCACATAGATTTCTCGTAGAAACTTCAACTGGCCTTTTCATTGCACAGATATAGTCAACTCTGGTCACCATCAGGAAGCCCACCTTGAGAAATGCTTGGTGGTTCTGCCATGAAGGTCCTTGGTCAGGCACCTACTATTTTAGGGTAACCATGCAACAAACATGGCAGACCAAGGCATGCTTGTTTCTTTATTGAACGTGTTTTTCGGTTACCTACATTGCTTACTACACTGTATAATTTAATGTTACATAATCAACTTTAAAAGTAGGTGAAAACCCAGTCACTGAAATCGCATATAACATGCTAATGCCATGTCAATGTTTTTTTAATTTTGTGGTTGATCCTGCCAGGTGGGTCCTTGGTCAGGCATCTATTGTAGGGTGACAACACTCTGCTGCTATCTTCAGATTTGTTCTGTAATGTTACATGGGCTTCTGATAGAGACTACAAGTGGTCTTTTCATTACACAGATATGTTCAACTGTGGTTGCCATCAGGAGACACACTCTGAGAAATGCTTGGTGGTCCTGCATTGAAGGCTCTTGCTCAGGCACCTACTGCTTTATGGTGACAACACTGTTCCTGTCTTCCAGTTCTACAGTGTCACACGGGCTTCTGATA